ATTTGCCCACTTCAGCCTCCCAAAGAGCTGGATTACAGGAATGAGCCACTGCACCCAGCATATTATTATTATTATTTTGAGACACTGTCTCGCTGTGTACCCAGGCTGGAATGCACTGGTATGGTCATAGCTCACTGCAGCCTCAACCTTCTGACTCGGGACCACAGGTGTGTGCCACCATACCCAGCTTTTTTTTTTTTTTTTAAGTTTTTGAAGAGAAAAGGATCTCCTGATGTTGTCCAGGCTGGTCTCAAAACTCCTGGACTAAAGTGATGCTCCCACCTTGGCCTCACCTTGGCCTCACCTTGGCCTCCTGAGTCTGAGAGTACAGGCGTGAGCCACCACGCCCTGCCTGAAGTCCCATATTCATGTCTCTGGGCCTGATAAATTCTGCATACCTCACTAAAGAAGAAAGAGGGGACATATCTCTGCTCAGGAAAGTGCCAAGTTGGGACCCAATACTCATTTTGAAGGACTTTGGAACAATTATTTGATTCTTCCTTTTTTTCTTTTTTAGACAGGATCTCACTATGTTGCTCAGACTGGGCTCAAATTCCCAGGCTCAAATGATCCTCCTGCCTCAGGGTCCCTTATAGGCTGGGCCTACAGGCAAGCATGCATCACCACGCCCAGTTTGATCCTTCCATTCTTTTTTCCGAGACAGATTCTCATTCTCTCAACTAGGCTGGAGTGCAGTGGTGCAATCATGGCTCACTGCAGCTTCAAACTCCCAGGTTCCAGTGATCCTCCCACCTCAGCATCCCAGGTAGCTGGAACGACAGGCACATGCCACCATGCCCAGCTAATTTTTTTTAAAGTTTTTTTGTAGAAACGGGGGTCTCACCATGCTGCCCAGGCTGGTCTGGAACTCCTGGCTTCAAGTGACACTCCCATCTCTGCCTCCCAAATTTCTGGGATTACAAGCATGTGCCAGTGTGCTAAGCCTGATTCTTCCTTTTTTTTTTTTTTTTTTTTTTTGAGACCGAGTCTTGCTCTGTCACCCAGACTGGAGTGCAGTGGCGTGAGCTCAGCTCACTGCAACCTCCGCCTTCTGTGTTCAAGCAATTCTCCTGCCTCAGCCTCCCGAGTGGTTGGGATTATAGGCGCCCACCACCACACTCAGCTAATTTTTGTATTTTTAGTAGAGATGGGGTTTCACCATGTTGGCCAGACTGGTCTTAAACTCCGGACCTCAAGTGATCTGCCCACCTCAGCCTCCCAAAGTGCTGGGATTACAGGCGTGAGTCACCATGCCCAGCCTGATTCAATTCATTATTTTTTTTTTTTTTTTTTGAGACAGAGTTTGCTCTTCCCCAGCTGGAGTGCAGGTGCGACTCGCTCACGCAACCTCCGCCTCCTGGGTTCAAGCGATTCTCCTGCCTCAGCCTCCAGAGTAGCTGGGATTACAGGCGCCCGCCACCACCCCAGCTAATTTTATATTTTTAGTAGAGACGGGGTTTCTCCATGTTGGTCAGGCTGGTCTTGAACTCCCGACCTCATGTGATCCACCTGCCTCAGCCTCCCAGAGTAGCTGGGATTACAGGCCCGCCACCCCCGCTATTTTTGTATTTTTTTGGACGGGTTTCCGTGGCAGGTGCTCAACTCCGACCTCGGTCCCCTTCGCCTCCAAGGCTGGATACAGGTACAGCTAGTCTTTACTTTCTTGCATATCCACTGTATATTCACTTCTGGGAAAGCACAGGAGGAGACATGCAGGCTTACCCCTAGCTCATCACTGGAATGCAGCACCCCATTCTGGCCTCTCCCCAGAGGGTTGTCAAGCAGACCCTTAACTTTCCCTCCTGAGAAGACAGCAGAGAAGAGAGAGGAAGCTCCTCCAGTGGGATGAGACACATGAGGTCCGGAGTTGGGCCTTTTCTGTGGGCTTTGGGGACCTCTGAACAGTGCGATCAGGTCTGCCCTTAGAAGGGTGCTTTGGCACAAGGAGGAGAGGCAGGGAGGGAGTTCTGCAGAGGGCCACGGAAACCAGAGGAGGCCACTGCCCCCACTGCCCCTTCTCCCCAGGAGGGTGAATCATTCTGTATTAGCTCCAGGTGCCATAAAAAAATACCATCGACAGAGCAGCTTAAACAACAGACATTTATTTTCTCTCAGTTCTGGAGGCTAGAAGTCCCAGAGGCCTCTCTTCCCAGCTTGCACGCGGCCACCTTCTCACCATGTCCTCCCACGGGGTGGGGGAAGGTAGCACCCAAGCTCTCTGGTCTCTTATAAGGACACTAATCCTGTTGGATCAAGACCCACCCTTATGCCCTCACTTAATCTTCATCATCTCCTTATAGGCCCTTGCCCCAAATACAGTCACACTGGGGACTAGAGCTTCAGCGTCTAATATTGAGGGGGATACCATTCAGTCCACAGCCCTCCCCTTCCTCAGGGCTCCAACCACATCGTGCACAGAACTCAGCTGTAGCCTGCATCACACAGTGCTCTTCAATAGAGGTATGCATTGCGCAGTGACTAGGATACATTCTCAGAAATGCATCATCAGGCGATTTTGTTGATGGGAGAACATCATAGAGTGTGCTTAGACCAGCCTAGATAGTGGAGCCTACTGCGCACCTAGGCCATATGGTACAGCATATTGCTCCTCGGCTACAGACCTGTACAGTAAGGATTTGTATATCTAAACACAGAAAAGCTATGGAAAAAATATGGTATTAGGGCCAGGCACGGTGGCTCAAGCCTGTAATCCCAGCACTTTGGGAGGCCGAGACAGGCGGATCACGAGGTCAGAAGATCGAGACCATCCTGGCTAACACGGTGAAACCCCTCTCTACTAAAAAATACAAAAAACTAGCCGGGTGAGGTGGCGGGCGCCTGTAGTCCCAGCTACACGGGAGGCTGAGGCAGGAGAATGGCGGGAACCCGGGAGGCGGAGCTTGCAGTGAGCTGAGATCTGGCCATTGCACTCCAGCCTGGGTGACAGAGCGAGACTCTGTCTCAAAAAAAAAAAAAATATGGTATTAGAATCTTAGGGGACCACTGTTGTATATGCTGTCTGTCGTTGACCAAAACATTATGATATGCCACGTGACTGCTGTATTTGTTTTTCTGATTATAAAAGTAACACATGTTCCCAGTAGAAAGTGTGGAGAATCGCCGGGCACCGTGGCTCACGCCTGTAATCCCAGCACTTTGGGAGGCTGAGGCAGGTAGATCACAATGTCAGGAGATCAAGACCATCCTGGCTAACACGGTGAAACCCCATCTCTACTAAAAATACAAAAAATTAGCCAGGCATGGTGGTGAGTGCCTGTAGTCCCAGCTACTCCAGGAGGCTGAGGCAGGAGAATGGCGTGAACCCGGGAGGCAGAGCTTGCAGTGAGCCGAGATCGCGCCACTGCACTCCAGCCTGGGCGACAGAACGAGACTCTGCCTCAAAAAAAAAAAAGTATGGAAAATCTAAAAACAAAAAGAGCATAAAATCATCCAAAAACCCGCAGCCTACAGATAAACATTATTAATATTTCAGTTGGGCTTTTTTGGTCTTTTTTTCTTGTGTTTATATATTCATACTTTCATTTATTTATTTTTTTTTTTGGAGACAGAGTCTCACTCTGTCACCCAGGCTCAAGTGCAGTGACACAATTTCGGCTCACTGCAACCTCCACCTCCCAGGTTCAAGTGATTCTTGTGCCTCAGCCTCCAGAGTAGCTGCATCATATTTATACTTTTTTAATGCCACTAGGCTTAACCAGTATATTTTTTGCAACAGCTTTCTTGAGATGTAATTCACATACCACATAAATAACCCTTTAAAATGTAAAATTGAGTGGTTTTTAGCATATGCATAGAGTTGCACATCACCACAATCAATTTTAGAACATTTTTATCACCCCCCTGCAAAGAAATTCATATCCTTTAGCTGTCAACCTCCAATCCCTCTATTTCTCTACGTCTAGGCAACTTATCATCTACTGTCTGTCTCTATAGATTTGCGTACTCCGGATGTTTCATATAAATGCAATCATGCAACATGTGGGCTTGTGACTGGCTTCTTTCATTTAGCATCATGTTTCCCAGTTTCATCCATTTTTAGCATGTTTCAGTACTTTTCCTTCTTTTCGAAACAGTTTTATTGAGATGTCATTCACATGCCATACTGTTCATTCCTTTAAAGTATATATAATTCAATTGCCTTTAGAATATGCAGTTATGTAGCCATCACCACAATACATTTTTAGAACATTTTTATCACCTCCAATTCCTTTTTATTGCCAAATAATATTCCATTGTATGGATATACCACATTGTATTTATCCACTGGTGGGCATTTTTACTCTTAGAATATTATAAATAATGTTGCACAAGTTCTTGCAGGGACATATGTTTTCATTTCTTGTAAGTACCTAGGAATGGAATTAATGGGCTATATGGTAATTATATGATTAAGCTTTTGAGGAACTGTCAGATAAGCCATGTGATTGATTGATTTTAAAGACAGGGTCTTATTGTATTGCCCCAGTTGGTCTCCAACTCCTGAGCTCAAGCAATCTTCCTACCTCAGCCTCTGAATGGCTGGGACTACAGGCACGTACCACTGCACCCAGCTGCCATGTGATTTTTTTCCTCCCAATTTTCTCAGTTAACATTAATCATGTATATTTTCATGAGTTGTTAAGTGTCCTTTGAGCATGTGGCTTTTAACATTTGCAGAGTTCCAAATTTTAGTTGGCCGATCCCCTGTTATTGGGGACACTTCCGATTTTCATCATGATGAACAGCATTTCCATGGGCTTTTTTTTTTTTTTTTTTTTTAAAGACAGATTTGTGCTCTTATTGCCCAGGCTGGAGTGCAATGGTGAGAACTGCAACCTCCACCTCCAGGATTTAAGCGATTCTCCTGCCTCAGCCTCCCGAGTAGCGGGGATTACAGGTGTGTGCCATCACGCCTGGCTAATTTTGTATTTTTAGTAGAGCTGGGGTTTCACCATGTTGGTCAAGCTGGTCTCGAACTCCTGACCTCAATGATCCACCCGCCTTGGCCTCCCAAAGTGCTGGGATTACAGGTGTGAGCCACTGTGCCCAGCCCCATGAGCATCTTTAGGCACCAATCTTTTATTTAGGCATCTCTGGTTATTTCTCTAGAGCACATTAGTCAAATAATTGTATCAAAGGGCACAGGCAGTTTTGAGGCTCTCAGTGCATAATGATAAATTGCCTTCCAAAAAGGATGTGCCCGTTTGCATTCTCAAAAGCACAGTGTGCACCCCTCCTTATATTTTAATAGTTTCCTGAGGTCACCAGAACATGAACATGGGGAGGGCAGGGACTTGCTTGGGCATCTTGGATACCACGCCCAGCTCAATGTGCAGTACTTAGTAGAGGTTTGTGTGACATGAATGAGTGAGAGCACATGAAAGCCCAGATGAGTGCAGGGTCCGTGGGGCACAGTGGAGGGTACAGGTGTGTGAGCACCGTGAAGGCCAGCTCCACAGGACTTAGCACACTGCTGACGTGGGGACTCAGTGCAGACACAAGTGGTAACAAGGCCTCGTGAGTCAAAGAGCTTCTCACCCTGGAGGTCAAAGCAACTGATTGGAGATGAGGAAGCCGCACTCCAAGGTCACTTAGGGACAGACGCTGGCAGGGCTGGTCTGAAGACTGGCAGCAACTCCTTTTTATACTCCACTCTGCAAGCACCAGTCTTTATGCAGAGCTCTGGAAGAATTCCCCTCACTGAGCTAGCAAGGCCATCAAACTCCGCGTTCACCTGGATATCCTGAGGAGACACCCATTACAAGGATGAACTTTGTTACTATCTGAGAACTTGACCATTTTCCACTCACACACACAAGGTCTCAGAGAAGCTCCTTCGGGCGGCTTCTCCCCTGTGGATGACAATCTCATACCCGCAAACTAGTAAGATCCAGGAGAGAAGGGGACAATGTGGGACGTTTAAAGTCCTGCTGTATTTATTTATTTAGAAATGGGATCGTACTCTGTCACCAGGCTGGAGTGCAGTGGCTCAATCATAGCTCACTTCATCCTTGAGCTCCTGGACTCAAGCTATCCTCTCGCTTAAGCCTCCAGAGTAGCGGGGACTACAGGTGCCCACCACCATGCCCGGCTATGCTGTGTTTTCAGATCTGGGGGCTGGTTACATAGACACCTATGCCGTTTGTGAAAATTCTCCAAGCTCTATGCTTAATCTTTGTGCATTTTTCAGCATAAATGTTGTTCTTTAATTAAAAAACCAAGGGGTTGTTAGAACAGAACTGGCACTGATTGAGTCCTTCTCTGTGAAAGACCTTTCCCTCAGGTCTGTCATCTCAGCTTAAGTTCATGATGGCCTTGGGGGGTAGACGTTAGCCCCATTTTACAAAAACACAAGTCTAAGCCCAGGGAAAGATTTTCCTTGAATTATAAGTCTTCAAAACTATTTCCCTCAAAGCCCAGAATAAAATCTGGGCTAGTCAGATTATACTAGTGATAACAGATAACAACAATTAAGGAATAGAAAATAGAATATTCGATTCAGGCTAATTGTTTTTCTTCGTGTTTTTGTTTTGTTTGTTTGTTTGTTTTTGAGATGGAGTCTCGCTCTGTCACCCACGCTGGAGTGCAGTGGCACGGTCTCGGCTCACTGCAACCTCTGCTTTCTGGTTCAAGCGATTCTCCTGCCTCAGCCTCCTGAGTAGCTGAGGTTACAGGAGGGCACCACCACATCCAGCTTACAACACAGAGTTTCACTCTCGTTGCCCAGGCTGGAGTGCAATGGTGCAATCTCGGCTCACTGCAACCTCCACTTCCTGGGTTCAAGTGATTTTCCTGCCTCAGCCTCCCGAGTTGCTGGGATTACAAGTGCATACCACTACGCCTGGCTAATTTTTGTATTTTTAGTAGAGACAGGGTTTCACCATGTTGGCCACGCTGATCTTGAACTCCTGACCTCAGGTGATCTGCCTGCCTCGGCCTCCCAAAGTTCTGGGATTACAGGCATGAGCCACCAACTCTGGCCAAATTTTTGTATTATTAGTAAAGACAGGTTTTGCCATGTTGGCCAGGGTGGTCTCGAACTCCTGACCTCAGGTGATCCACCTGCCTTGGCCTCCCGAGGTCCTGGGATTATAGGCTTGAACCATCATGCCCAGCCCAGGCTAGTTATTGATTGATTGTTTATGATTCTTTGACTCAGAATCTTGTCCAGGATCCCACATTGATAGACACAGGATTTGGTCCCAAGCCTGAACTGATTCCAAAGCCCATGGCATTCCCATGAGACTAGGGGCTTCTGATAATGACCATACATTGTGTCAAGTAAGTATATATTTGGGTAGGATAATGCCATATGTCATTCTATTTCTTTTAGAACGAAAGATCCAGTGCTGACAGGAATTCTCAGAGCAGCAGGCACATGGTTAAGGCAAGAACAGGCCGTTAGAAGGAAACGGTAAGGATGTTTGACATCGGTTGTCCCAAACCTGAATAACTGAAACTACACACACACATTTCTGGAAAGGCTTTGACTCAAGTCTGGATTGAAAAAAATCAGGGTTAGAATCAGCACTGATTTGTAACTCAACTTTTTTGTTTCCTTCTTTTTTTATATTTTTTGAGACAGAGTCTGGCTCTGTTGCCCAGGCTGGAGTACAGTGGCACAATCATAGCTCTCTGAAGCCACAAACTCCTGGGATCAAGTGATCCTCCTGCTTCAGTCTTCTGAGTACCCAAAACTACAGGTATGTGACACATGCCTGGCTAATTTTTTTAAAAGCTTTTTGTAGAGATGGAGCTCTTGCTGTGTTGCCCAGGAGAGTCTTGAACTCTGGGCTTCAAGGGATCCTCCCACCTCAGCCTCCCAATGTGCTGAGATTATAGGTGTGAGCCACCTCACCTGGCACTTTTTCTACATTAAAAATCAAAATTTGCCAGGCTCAATGGCTCATGTCTGTAATCCCAGCACTTGGGAGGCCAAGGTGGTTGGATCAGCTGAGGTCAGGAGTTCAAGACCAGCCTGGCCAACCTGGTTAAACCCCATCTCTACTAAAAAAATTTAAAAATAAAAAAAATTAAGCCGGGCATGGTGGCACACACCTGTAATCCTAGCTACTTGGGAGGCTGAGGCAGGAGAATTGCCTGAACCTGGGAGCCAGAAGTTGCAGAGAGCTGAGATAGCACCACTCCACTCCAGCCTGGGTGACAGAGTGAGACTCCGTCTCAAAAAAAAAAAAAAAAAAAATCAAAATTGACCCAAGACATGAGAAACCACAGCACAAGGATCACTTGAGTTCAGAAGTTTGAAACCAGCCTGGGCAACATAGCAAGCCCCCATCTCTAAAAAAAATTAGCCAGGTATGGTGACCTGTGCCTGTACTTCCAGCTACTTGGCGAGCTTAGACAGGAGGACCACTTGAGCCAAGGAATTTGAGACTGCAGTGAGCTATGATCACACCACTGCACTGCAGCTGGGCGATAGACTGAGACCCTGACTCAAAAAAAGTGGCAGAATTGAATGAAAAGGGATCCTAATCTCTCTCACAGCCACTCAAGTGAACCTTCCAGCACCACAGTCCACCTGCAGACAGTCGGGGGAGGGGCAGAGGGCAGCCTTGCAGGTGCAACTGCAGATCTAAACCTCAGTGGATAGGGAGCATCGTGCCCAGACCTCCACTTACCCTCTCTCAGCCAATGAAGAACCCAGGCAGGGTCCCCAGGCAAGATCCCGCAGAACCACCAGTCCAGAGGGGGCAGAGCCGAGTGGCACCATGCCTGCAGTCAGGTCCCTATTGCAACTCTGCCTCTGCCACACCGTGTGTCTGGGCAGGGCTCTTGATTTCTCTAACTCTCACTTTCTTCTTCTAAAATGATGATACCTCACAGGGCTGTTGGGAGGATCAGAAAGGAGATTTATAAAATGCTCTTACTGAGAAATCCAACAGTTCCAGGGCAGAGGCTGGATTGTCCTGGACAGACTTGAGGAGACCAAAGCAGCCTTCACTTCGCATGGGATTCCTGGACACCTAAGAAACATGCACACAAAGCTGCGAGAAGCCGGGTCTGGGGAGGCCAGAGAGCAACGTGAAAGGGAAGGAGGGGCTCCTTATCTCTGAGGACACAGTTACTATGGCCACACTGTCTCAGCTCAGAAGGTGTCTCCATCAGACAGTCAGACAGAATGCTCTGGTGAGGCTGCTGGGCCAGAGAAGAGAGGAAGGGAGAGGCCTCTGACTGATACAGACACACAAGACACACTCTTGCCTTTAAGAACTTGCCTGCTGGGGAGAGGGGAGGGAAAGGAAGCATCGTGAAATGTGGTGTGATCAGCGCAGAGTGTGCACCAACTCCCCTGGGAGGGAAAGGCTGGGAGGGGAGGTGTATCTGGGTAGGGCTCAGCTGAGCTTCCCAGGTGAGGTGGCCGGAGCTGGACATTTCAGCAAGAACAGCAGAGGAACAAAGGCAGGGGTGAAAAATAGTACCGTGTGTGTGTGTGTGTGTGTGTGTGTGTGTGTGTGTACTCCGAGCTTGGGGTGAGAGCACTGAACTTGGAAGAGAGGGGCTGGCAGAGCCCAGATCCCCCATGACATGCTATGTTACCTTTTTTTTTTTTTTTTTTAGACAGAGTCATGCTCTGTCGCCCAGTATGGAGTGCAGTGGTGAGATCTCAGCTTGCTGCAACCTCCGCCTACTGGGTTCAAAGGATCCTCCTGCCTCAGCCTCCAGAGTAGCTGGGATTATAGGTGTGCGCCACCACTTCTGGTTAATTTTTTTGCGTTTTCAGTAGAGACAGGGTTTCACCATGTAGGTCAGTCTGGGCTCAAACTCCTGACCTCAGGCACCTGCTTCAGCCTCTGGAAGTTCTGGGACTACTGGCGTGAGCCACCACGCCCAGTTCCCCGTGACAAAATGCACTCGAAGCTTGGGTTTATCCAGAGGGGATAAAACTCCAACAGTTTTCAGGCAGGGCATGTTTCTGGTTTAGAAAGGTCACTGGGTAGCAGGTGGGAAGGAAGGACTGTAGCCAGGAACCCCGCAAGTTCACAGAAGCTGAGAGGGGAAGTCAGAAGAGGGAGGAGTCAGCAGGGTGAGCCCCTGCAGAGGGTGGGCGGGATGGTGTGGAAAAGGGAGGGGCAAGTAGGCTCTGGGCCCCAGCTGGTGACTTGGGAAGGAGCCCCCCACCAGGAGGCAGCCCTTAGAGGGGGGTGATGCATTCAGGTTGGACTCTCACATTCCCACGTGACTTTGGGACATTTAGAGGACTGTTTAGGAGGTGACTGGAAACTCAGGTCTACGGTTCAGAGAGGTCCAGGTTCCTGTGGGGCAGGGATCAGGGGAGGAGAGCTATGGGAGAAGCCCAGGGAAGGCTGGGGTGGGGAGCTGAGGGCCGACAGAGCTGGGTGTCCATACCCAGCTAGCAATACTGTCCCCCAGCATGTACCTGCTGTGGGCACAGTGGTCCCCTGGGGACCTGCTCCCCACTCGCCTCCCTCCTGTGTCTGTCTTCTGCTCTCTGTCCTGCTCAGCACTCCCTCCCCACCTGCAAACCCAGGGGAAGGACTCCAGCTGGAAACACCAGGCCTCAGGTCGGCCTGAGCAGTGGCCAACGCAACACCTGGGTGGGGCCTGGGTCCCAGCAAGACCAGAGGAAAGGCAGGGGAGAAGATGAGGGAGACACAAGGGGTGCCCAGCCACCTTCATCAGAGCAGCACCCCAGCCCACAGAGGAGGAAGGGCAGCAAGAAGATGCGGGAGAGAAGCTGGGAGGGAGGAAGGGGAGAAGAGGAGGGCCAGACCCCAGATGCAGGGTGAGTGGCAAGGGAGCGAGCCAGCCTGTGTGCACCTGCCCACTGCCCCTGGGTGGGGGCTGCGGGGGAGGGATCTGTGTGGACTGGTACAGGGCAGGTCTGTGCTGGGGTCTCAGTCATCAGGCTAGCACTCACTACAAGAATCCTCAGCGTCTGGTTGACCCGGAGACCCAGGCCCAGGCTCAGGGCTCCCATCGCAGAGATGCGGTTGTTGCTGCAACAAAGACAACAGACACATGCTTTGTGCAACCTTCCAAGCAGCCGTGCAGAGCCCACTGCCCCAGGGTGCCCACTGGAGTTGCCATTGCAGCCACCAGGTTGGGTCTCTCATTCCAGCCCTCCACTCACACCGCAGGAACCCTGGATAGGTCAACAGGTAAAAGGTAGAGATGACACCGTTCAGAGGGATCACGCAGCAAACACGCCTAAAGCGTCCCTGTCCTGGTGGACACCAGCTGCCGCTCCCTGGCCCTCTGAGCTCTGCAAGTGCTCCCACGCATTCTGCCCGAGCTGGCATCTCATGCCTATCACCATGACAACGCCTGTTCCAGAAAATCACCTTGCTTCTGTCCAAGGCCTCTCCTCCTCCCGCTGTTCCCAAACTGCAGGCCTCAGCACCACCCTGGACCACTTTGTCTCCGGAGCCAGTCCCACTTCCCTTTCACTTCTCAGACCCCAGCTCTGGCTGCACCTCCATTTTCAGCCTCTGTGGCTGCCCCTAGTCTTAGCTCCTCCCATGGGGAGGAAAGCTGGGCAGGATTGAGTGGGGCCTTCTTGCCCACGGGGAGCTGCCCCTGGGAAGGGTCTCAGCCACAGCAGCCCATGACCTCCCTGGCCTCTGGCCCATGACCTCCCTGGCATCCACCTCTTTTCTTCCTTCTGGGCTTGTGCCCCCTGGCTAGACTGGGACACTGCATGGCCTGGAGGAGCCCCTCACACAGGGCATGCTCCAGTAGCCACATGCTGAGCAAAACAGGCACTGGGGCCCACTTGTCAGGGTCCTGCCTTGCCTCATCTGGACTAGGCTCGTTTTTCTCCCTCTGTTGCTCAGGCTGCAATGCAGCGGCATGATGACAGCTCACTGCAGCCTGAACTCCTGAATCCTACGCTCAAGCAATCCTCCTGCCTCAGCCTCCCAAGTACCAGGAATGATAGGTGTATGCCACCGGAAATGGACAATTTTTAGATTTTGCATAGAAATGGAGTCATGCTATGTTGCCTAGCCTGGTCTCAAAATCCTGTCCTTAATGGATATTCCCACCTCAGCCTTCTGAAGTGCTAGGATTACAGGTGTGAGCCACAGAACCTGGCCTTGGCTCATGTGCAAGGGAGGAAAGCTTGCATGGAGCACCCGCCATGCACCAGGCTCTGCGGGAGATGCTTTATACACACTGTGTGCAATTCGCAGCCATCCGCCTGTGCTGTAGGAATCACAGGTCTCTATGTAACAGTGATGAATTCCCCATGACTGTAATTCCAGCACTTTGGGAGGCTGAGGCAGGAAGACTGCTTCAGCCCAAGAGTTCAAAGCCAGCAGGAGACTGTCTCTACAAAAAAGAAAAAATTAGCCAGGCTTGGTGACATACTCCTGTGGTCCCCGCTACTTGGGAGGCTGAGGTGGCGGGATTGCTTGAGCCTGGAAAGTCAAGGCTGCAGTGAGCCATGATCACATCACTGCACTCTAGCCTGGGCAGTAAAGCAAGATGCTGTTTTAAATCAATACATAAAATTATAAACTCCAGCGATAAGGATGACAGAGCTGCTCTGGGACTGTGGCTCAAGCCCCGTCACGGGTAGACTGTGTGGATCAGCAGAAAGATCATGGAGCCCACGATTCCTGGGGTGTGCCCCCGGGGATCCTCACCTCATGTTGAGTTCCTCCAACACGTTGTTGGCCTTGAGAGCCTCACCCACCGCAGAGGCTCCAGGATCCCCAAAGCCATTGTATGAGATGTCTAGAACTTTCAGGAAGATGTTTGCCTAGAATACCGAAGAGTGTAGTCATGGAACCCCGTCTGACAGTGGAGCAAGCCAGGGTGCCACAGCCTCAGAGCCAGGAGTCCTGAGGAGCAAAGATAAGGGATAAAGGGCAGAAGGGGAGAGGCTCCAAGGAAGGGTCAGGAAAGTGCCATGCAGACCCCCCGGTGGCTACAGCTTGGATGATGGTGGTCAACAGAGCCCAGTGGCCCAGAGCACAACAGGAAAGGACCGGTGTAGACGTGAATGGCCCTCAGAGAGACCGGGAGGGATGTGTGCAGAGCAGCAGCAGGCCCCAGAAACATTGAACGGACTCCACACCCATCTAATGGCTCTGGAGGGCAGGGATCCCAAGATCCAGTGAAGAGCTGTTGGATGAAACCTGCCCAGGGTACTGTGATGGGAAGAACAGTAGGTGCTCTGGCAAGACAGAATGTGACATGCCACCTTGTGGGGCAGGACCCCAAGGTCAGCCCCTGTATCAGGGCAAGACAGCAGCTGCCATGGCCTGAGGAGGACCCCACAGGGTATCTGGCACTAGGGACATTGCAGACACCTTGTACCACCCTAGCACCAGCTTGAGCCGCCCATTCCCGAGCCCTATGAGCCACACATGGAAGGGAACGGTGGGTGTTTGAGAGGCTGTGCTGGCATCCAAGGGTGCGAGGTCTCATCTCAGGAAACCACCTGCCTATGCCCAACAGTGAGCGTGTGTCACCAGACTGCACGGATGTCCCTTCCCAGCTGGGTGTCTATGGTGTCTGGGGAAGGTGCAAGACATTCAACAGTAACCCTTCAGGAAATGATATGACAGTGAGCACAGCGTATTGTGGTCACTAAATGAAGCCAGGAAAATTAAAATCACCTAAAGAAACAGTCTTTAAGCTCTGCTTAAAAGATCCACGGTTCGGCCGGGCGCCGTGGCTCACGCTTGTAATCCCAGCACTTTGGGAGGCCGAGGCGGGTGGATCACGAGGTCAGGAGATCGAGACCATCCTGGCTAACACGGTGAAACCCTGTCTCTACTAAAAATACGAAAAATTAGCCGGGCGTGGTGGTGGGTGCTTGTAGTCCCAGCTACTCAGGAGACTGAGGCAGGAGAATGGCGTGAACCCGGGAAGCAGAGCTTGCAGTGAGCCGAGATCGCGCCACTGCACTCCAGCCTGGGCAACAGAGCAAGACTCTGTCTCAAAAAAAAAAAAAAAAAGATCCAAGTTTCATTTCCGAAGAGCTGCAGAGACAGGGAGCTGGCCCCTGTGAGGCAGGTCCCAGCAGACAGGTTGCAGGGCTGACTAGGTGGGGGCTTCATACCTCCAGTCCCCTGGCAAATGCCACAGCTCCCGGGCCTCGGAGGTGATTCCAGCTCACGTTAAGTTCGGTGAGTCCAGTGTTTTCTGCCAGGGCTGGTCCGAGTGTCTCCCCTTCAGAAACACCAAGAGAGACCTTCTGACTCACTCTCTTCACTCCTTCAAAAGATCGCACTGATGCCCACTGTGTGCTGAGCCTCTGCTGGGCAGGAGGGTCACAGACATGAAACTAACATGGGCCTGCCATGCCCTTAAGGAACTCACATTTCATGGGGGAAATACAAATACAAACGTATGGGATGTGAGCTATTCATTTAGACTGCAAAGGGGGAGGCATGGGAACCGAGTGGTGGCTAACCTGTCTTGCGGACAATCAGGGACAGAGGAGATAACTCAGGACTGAGGAATTCCTGACGGGCTTGTGCATGCACAGTGGGGAGGAGACACAGGAAAGTGCAAATGGCAGAGGCACCTGTGGAAATGCATGCAGGCTTGGAGCTGGGGCTGGGGAGGGCGAAGCCAGTGAGGTCAGGAAGGAGTAACAGGCACTTGAGAGATGCTGAGGGGCCTTGAGTGCCAAGCTAAGGGGCTTAGGCAGCACATACAAGCGGCAAGGAGTCAGGGAGGGCCTTAAGAAGCGATGAGGCTGGACTAGCATTTCAGCAAGTGGCAGGTGTCCAGGATAGACTGGGCTGGGTGGGGGCAGAGGCAAGAGGCTGGGGGACCACGTAGAAGGCTGGTGCCATAGGGTCGGCACGAGGTGACTGGGCTGGCACAGCTGTGATACAGAGGAGATGGGGGTGGTAGAGAAAGGAAGGTGAAAGCCAGGCAGTGGTGTGTGCCTGTGGTCCCAGTGACTCAGGAGGCTGAGGCAGGAGGATTTCTTGAGGCCAGGAGTTCAAGACCAGCCTGGACAAAAAAGCGAGACCTGGAGATGAAGGCGGAGCAACATGGCCGAACAGAACCCTCCAGCAGTCATCCCACAACCCTCACAGGAACACCAAAGCGAACATGTGGGGAAAAGAAAGAGAGATCAGACTGTTACTGTGCCTATGTAGAAAGAAGTAGACATAAGAAACTCCATTTTGTTCTGTACTAAGAGAAATTCTTCTGCCTTGAGATGCTGTTAATCTGTAACCCTAGCCCCAGCCCTGTGCTTGCAGAGACATGTGCTGTGTTGATTCAAGGTTTAATGGATTTAGGGCTGTGCAGGATGTGCTTTGTTAAAAAAAAGTGCTTGAAGGCAGTATGCTTGTTAAAAGTCATCACCATTCTCTAATGTCAGGTACCCAGGGACACAATACACTGCGAAGGCCACGGGGACCTCTGCCTAGGAAAGCCAGGTGTTGTCCAAGGTTTTCCCCCATGCGATAGCCTGAGATATGGCTTCCTGGGAAGGGAAAGACCTGACCTTAAAGGGTCTGTGCCTCTTTGCAGTTGAGATAAGAGGAAGGCATCTGTCCCCTGCTCCTCCCTGGGAATAGAATGTCTCCGTGTAAAACCCAGTTGTATGTTCTATTTACTGAGATAGGAGAAAACTGCCTTAGGGCTGGAGGTGAGCCGTGGCAATACTGATGTTTGTGTACTCCCACATCAAAGCACAGCACCTTTCCTTAAACTTATTTATCACACAAACATCATTGCTCAAATGTGCTGACCCTCTCCCCACCATTACCCTATTGTCCTGCCACATCCCCCTCTCCGAGGAGATGGTAGAGATAATGATCAATAAATACTGAGGGAACTCAGAGACCAGTGCCAGCGGGCGGGCGGGGATCCTCCCTATGCTGAGCGCAGGTCCCCTGGGCCCACTGTTCTTTCTCTATTCTTTGTCTCTGTGTCTTATTTCTTTCCTCAGTCTCTCTTCCCACCTGAAGAGAAACACCCACAGGTGTGGAAGGGCTGGCCCCCTTCACGAACATTTATACACATAAGAAAGCACCTGCATAAGACGCAGAAACCAGCTGCACATCACAGTACCTGCTTTTAACATCATAACAGGGAAACAGGCACTAAAGAGGAAAGAAAGCTAGTCTTTTTGTTGTTGTTAAGACACGGTCTCACTCTGTTGCCCAACCTGGAGTGCAGTGGACAATCACGGCTCACTGCAGCCTTGGCGTCTTGGGCTCAAGCGATTCTCCTACCTCAGCCTCCTGACCGAGACTACAGGCACAGGCCACCACTTGGGGCTTTTTATTTATTTTTTTTTTTTGAGACGGAGTCTCACTCTGTCACCCAGGGCTAATTTTTAAAATTATTTGTTGTCACCACTGAGGCTCCCTATGTTGCCCAGTTTGGTTTCGAACTCCTGGCCTCAAGCAATCTGCGCCCCTCAACCTCCCAAAATGTTGTTGGCGTTACAGATAGCCACAGTGCCCTGCCAAGCCTCACTTTTAATTTCACCGACTTCTTGCAATAATTTTCTTAGAAGGCAAACTGGTTCTCTGGCAGTCACATGCCAGGGCCAATTCTCACAGGCCAAGGCTGATGTCACCCCACTTGCTCTAAGCTGCTTGAGACAGAGAAGTGCTTCTGAAAAGGCAATTCTCGGCCAGGTGCGGTGGCTCATGACTAATCCCAGCACTTTAGGAGCCTGAGGCGGGCGGATCACAAGGTCAGGGGTTCGAGACCAGCCTGACCAACATGGTGGAACCCCATCTCTACTAAAAATACAAAAATTAGTTGGGTATAGTCACGCGCGTCTGTAATCCCAGCTACTCAGGAGGCAGGAGAATTGCTTGAACATGGGAGGTGGAGGTTGCAGTGAGCAGAGATCACACCATTGCACTCCAGCCTAGGTGACACAGTGAGACACCACTCTGTCTCAAAGGAAAAAAAAAACGGTTTTTGTTCTTTTGAAAATGTTCCTGGGGCATCCACTAAAATGCGGATTCACCGGCATTCCCCTAAGAGGTTGCTTCAGCAGGTCCAGGGTCAGCATCTGCATGCCCAACCCAGGGTCCCAGGTGATCCTTACTCTTATTGGACCATTTGAGGAGAGGCAGGTAGAAGTGCATATTCCTGGCAAAGCAGATAGCTCCTGCATATGCTCAGGGGCATGACAGTGATGAGATCAAGGAATCCCAACCATGTCTGCTACCTCACTTGGAACAAAATCTTCACCATTTTTGCCACAGCCTGTAGCCCTGCAGCCCCCTCTGCCCTCTCCACCCGACAGCCTGGCCACGCTTCCCTGGCTCCCTAGCCTAGTCACACTGCTGTCTGCCAGTCTGGGGAACAGGCCCGCATGCTCACGGTTCCTCTGCTTGAAATGCTCTCCCTCTGATCTTGCCAAGGCTGACTCCTTCCCACTCTGCACATTTCAGCTTAAATGTCACCTCACAGAGGCCTCCCCAGCCACCTCTTTAAAGCAGGAGGTCCCCATTCTTCTCCAGAAGCAGAAACTATTTGTTTCTTCTGAGAATGATGTTGTCAACATTGTTCCTTGAGGCCAGGAACTTGGTTTTGTTCAAGGTAGATCCCTGGTGGCTAAGTCAGTGCGCAGCACATACAGCAGTGGGCAATGAGATATTTGTGGAAGGAATGAAGAGTTCTGTGTGGCTGGAGTGGAAGAGGAGTGGGGCAAGGTGGGGTGTGGGGAGCAGGAGCCAGAGCACATGCTCCCTGGCGATGTGCAGTGCGGTCCTGCCAACCCCCACCCACCCCTGCCCCAGGAAGCTGAGTTTTTATGGCCCATGGTGCCCTGGGCAGGCGTTACCTGCTTGCTCATTCAGCTGGTTATAGCTCAGGTCCAGGGACTTCAGGTCTGTGTGGGCCAGCAGGATTTCAGCAAGGTACTGGGCCGCCTGCTCCTCCAGGCCATTCCCTGACAGCTGTATCTTCTGCACGGCCCGGTTGATGGTGAAAGCAGCACAGAGGGCCTGGGCTCCTGCCACTCCCAGCTGGTTCTCCGACAGGTCCACAGCTGGGGGACATATCCACTCCTCAGTCAGTGGGACACAAAGCCAGGCACCCCCCCACCTCCCTCTTCTGCCATCCCCCAAACCTCCAGGTCTGAGGCAGAGGAAGGCGCCTTACAGGTTAACTGTCCTGGGGTTGCATGGTGGCTCTGGCTCCCAATGGCTGGGTCCCCTCTGCCCCTGACCTCCCCCTCCCTGTGTGCCCACGAGCTTCTGTGTCAAGTGGTTAAAACTGCCTACCTCCTGGTACTATAGAGACTGCTGTGGTGGGGGACAGCCACCCCGTCAATGACTGTGTCTGGCAGTGATATCACCACCCATTTCAGAAGCCCTCACGGCCCCATTGCCAGTATTGGCAATAACAGCCCAGGTGGCCATGCATGGAGCACTTACATGGGTCACACACTCTGCTGACCACTTCAGGAGCGCGTTTCACTTCATGCTCACCACAGCCCCAAGCCTATGAGGTCTTGTGGGGGCCATTTCACAGATCAGAAACTGAAGCTCAGAGAGGTGAAGCTGCTTGCCCAGGTATCCAGCTCTTCGGTGGCAGAACGGGCATTTGGCCCCAGCCGCATCAAACTCTCACATTGCCTACCTGCTTCTTACAATACCCAACCCCCACCTCTCTGTGTGGAAGGACTCTCCCAACCTGCATTCAGGTATTGGGAGTCTACCATGTGCCAGGTGAAGAGGGGGATGCTGGCTAGCAAGAGAGGAGAGTGGTGGGGTGGGGTGGGTGAGGAAGGGACTTGTATCCAGCATTGACTGCACAGCGGAGGGTCTAACTCTACCCCACATGCCCCCTCCTGTGATGAGGCCCCTCCTTTATCCACCAGCAACACCAGCAGGCCCCAGGTGACATGGCCCAGCTTTTGGGGGTGGAGGCACATCCCTGAGGATAGGGAGGACTGACGCCTGCCCACCTGCCCCAGGCCCAGCACCTACCACGGATGCTGCTGCTTTTGCTCAGGGCACCTGCCAGGGCCTCTGCACCCGCCCCACAGAGCCCATTGTCTCGAAGGTCCAGCCGCTTGACATATGGATTGGAGCTCAACGAGGAAGCCAGAGCCCGGGCGCCCTGGGACAGACAGAGCAAACACACTGGCCGCTATCCTGGCTCATGCTCCAGGGCTCAGCCCGCTCCACGTCCTCCAGCTGGAAAGCCCACCCCTTCCCACCTGTTTTAAGTGACACCTGCTTCTCCTTTCAGGCTCTGTGAAGGTCTCCTCCCACCCCCAGCTCTCCCTGACCCCCCAGCTGGTTAGGAGCCTGCAGGTTCCCCAACCCTTAACGCCACCTGTCACAGCCTCAACCCCATCTGTCTCCCAGATGTGGAGGGTGGGGCATGCCTGGCACAGGCAGAAGCTGGGGAGTGTAGGGGACAGACTCTCCCTGTAAGCCTGGATACAGTGTCCCTCCAGGGGTACCTGGGGCCCCAGGCCACGGTGCCGGAGGTTCAGCTCTTGGGTGCTCCCTTGGCGCAGAAAGCAGGAGACGGGCACAACGCTATGGGCCCGGCAAGACCTCAGGTACAGTGTGTCCCTGACCAGTTCTCCAAGCCCATGGGTGCCTGGTAGGAGACAGGGGGACGAATGTGGACCCCTGCACAGCTACAGCCACCTGTGTCACTACCTGGCCTATATTTTGCCTCTAGAAGCACTGCTTCCTGTGCTCCTTGGGACCACTGCTCCCATAAGACAGATGAGGACATCAAGCCTCAGGCAACGCAAATCTTTTCCTTAAAGTCATACAGCTATGAAAAGAAAGTTGGACAACCTGGGCAACATAGCCAGACAATTTTTTTTTTTTTCGAGACAGAGTCTTGCTGTCACCCAGGCTGGAAGGCAGTGGCACGATCTCGGCTCACTGCAACCTCTGCCTCAAAGGTTCAAGCAATTCTCCTGCCTCAGCCTCCTGAGTAGCTGGGATTACAGGCGCCTGCCACCACACCAGGCTAATTTTTTAGCAATAGAGACGGAGTTTCACCATGTTGGCCAGGCTGGTCTCAAACTCCTGACCTCAGGTGATCCGCTTGCCCAGGCCTCCCAAAGTGCTGTGATTACAGGCGTGAGCCACCACGGCCAGCCAAAAAATTTATTAAATTAGCCAGGTGAGGTGGTCCCCTGTAGTCCCAGCTACTCAGGAGGCTGAGGCAGAAGGCTCACTAGAGTGCAGAGTTCAAGGCTGCAGTGAGCTATTATCCTGCCACTGCACTGAAGCCTGGGTGACAGAGCAAGACCCTGGCTCTGATAAATACATAATTTATTTATATATTTGTTTATTAATAAATATGAGCCCAGGCAATCCAATGTTGTTGGTTGCGGTAGAAGCCGTGGCTGGCCTGCGCTGAGCGTCCCACAGCTAGGGGTGGTAGCTAATCCTGCCAGAGTCAGGCCTCTGCCAGTCTGATGCCAAACTGCATGCTGTGTCTTTTAACCTGGACTGCAGACCACACATGTGTTGTAAACATTTTACGGGAGAAAAAACCGAAATAGTTCTCAATTCTATACATCCATTAGCTTAGTTTTTCCTGTGGATTGGGAAAACCCGACTGGTTCCATTTCAGGACACAGGAAAACCCGGCTTTTATTCCATTTCAGGGCGGGACAGCCCTTGGTGCACAGTCTGGCGGGATTTTGCATTTTACCCTGATGCTTCTAGGAGCAATGAAGGGAGGGCAGGGGGCTGGAGGCGCCCCTCAGACGGGTACGTTCCCTGCTCGACACGGGTCTCCTGCCCCCTTAGCCCCAGGCCGCCTCCCCCGACCCCTGCCGGAGAAGACCCCAAAAGGGGAGGAGTCGAGCCTGCCCCCTCCCCTGAGCACCTTCCATCTCCCAGTCGGAGTCCCAATCGGCCTCGGCACCCTGCACGGCCTCGGGGACCCCTGAAAGACGCCCACAGGCCGCTATAGCCTCCTCTTCTTTCTGCTCTTCATCCTCCCCAGACCTCTCGCAGGAACCCCTCATGGTTACGACCCTCTCGCAGTCTCAGACACTGAGACTGGGACAGCTTGACGTCCCACTCAGAGCGCGGCCCGGGATTGTGGGCGGAGTCTGCGGCTGCGCTGACCAACCGAATGTGCCGTCCAGCGACAGGCGCCCCCCACAGCCAATAGCGAGGCGCTCCCCCGCCGCGGTCGCCCCGACAACCAGGTGTTGTTAGTTGCCGTAGAAACTGTGGGGGGGGCTTGTGCTGAGACTCCTCGCCCAGGCTGATAAACTGCATGCGCCACAGACCATGAACCGGGTTGGGCGCTTTGAGGCTTTTATCCTCTCTGCCTCCCTAGGCGGTTCCAGCATCGCCCCCCTTTCATGGAATGGGAAACATGCCTGACTCCTGAGCTTGTGTTTTCTTCACTGCACTTGGGAGCAGCTTTTCAGGAGGGTCTGGGGAACCTCTCAGAACCAGGTCACCCTCTCACTCTGTGGCTCCCAGTTCTCTTGCATGCGCTGGCCTTTGCATAGGCTGTTCATTCCCCTGGGAACCTCCATCCCCATCTTTGTCTGCTTATTCACTTCAGAATCTGCAAGGGTCGGCTCAGAAGTCACTTATTCCTGAAGCTTTACTCAGAGCCTCCCCGGGGCTGTTGCTGCCCTCAGGCCGTCCTCTCACAGCACTGATAACAGCTGTCCTTCCCCATCCTCTCACCACCTCCACTCCCACCCCAGGAAGTGAGACCCCAGGGCAGGGACAGAGCTGCTGCTGTATTCTGTGTGCCATGGCCCAGCAAAGGGAATGTAGGGAGGGTAGGAGGTGCAGGACAGCTGGGGTTAGGGACTGAGGGCTGGGTGTCGGAGGCTGGATCCTGCTTTAGTGGAAGTGTCCCTTTAACAGCGACTGGCCTGGCCTGGCTCGGGCCCTGCTTTGCCTCCTGTTCAGCTGTGACTGCAGCTACCATGCTGACTCATGTGCCCGCAGCTAGCAGGAGCTGGCAGCATGGGCTCCCCAGGGGCTATGACAGGCTGGGGGCTTCTGGATTATAAGACAGAGAAGTATGTGATGACCAGGAACTGGCGGGTGGGCGCCCTGCAGAGGCTGCTGCAGTTTGGGATCGTGGTCTATGTGGTAGGGTAAGAGAGAAGAGCTTTTGGCCAGGCTGGAGGGGCAGGGGAAGAGGTGGGGGGTGGGGCTTGGTCCTGCTGGGTTGAAGTTGAGGGTTGGGCTGTTTAGGGGCTGGAGGGGAAGGGGGCAGATTGGTTCGGGGGCTGGGGGGAGGTAGGCAATACAAGACAGGAGAGCAAGAACAAGCTGTGTGTTTGTCCTGTGTGCCCACCTGCCTCCTTCCCAGTCCCTCCCCACGGCCCCACCCAGGGGGCACAAGACATCATCCTTAACATCTGTGAGAGCTGGAGCAGTAGCCCCAGAGAGACCACCAGCTATATCTCGGGTCAGGGGAGTCTAGAAGCTGGGAGCTGGGTCTAGTGAGGCTGGGGGTGGGTGCTGGCTGGGGAAGGTGATTGTCCGAGGGCACTGGCTCTCTGACACATGGCTGGAGCTTCTGTCTCGTTCAGGGGGTCTGGAGTGGGAAGTGGGGCCAGAGAGGAGGTAGGGCCCACGATGCTGGACTGGGAGCCTGTAGGGTGTGGGGAGAGAACTGAGCATGTAGGGCCCAGCTCCGCCCCTGTCACTACACGCTGGGGACACACCACACTGCCCAACTTCTCCTCCCCAGGTGGGCTCTCCTCGCCAAAAAAGGCTACCAGGACCGGGATCTTGACCCCCAGATTTCCATCACCAAACACAAAGGGAAGTGGCCGACTTGGTGAAGCCGCCTCAGGTGGGGGCCCTGGTGCTGCAGACGGGGGCGCAGGTCCTTTCCCCGCTGACCGCTTGAACACCCGCCATGCAGCCAGTGTGTGCGAGAGAGAAGCATGTGATGCCGGAGACAGCTGGGGGTTCTCAGGAAGGCCTTCACAGAGGAGTGACGCCTGGACAGGGCTTTCAGGGATGTGTAGGAGGTTCCGGTAGAAAAAGGTACGGGTTGAGAAGCCAGGCCAGAGAAACTGCATTTCCGAAGGCTGCCAACAGAAAAGAAGGGGGTGTTTGAGACTAATGGCTTGAGCTTGAGAGGGGTGAGGGGTGTGGGAGGGCTGGAACCGGAACTTCCTGTAGCCCTGCTCCCTGATGGGGGCACCTCTGTCAGGTGCTCCTCCTCCACCTTCTCGGCTGCATTTTCCTCCTCCCTCCACCCAGCTTATCCACAGCCTTAACTTCCACCTCTGGTCTTCTGATACCCAGGGTGTGTGTAGCCCCAGTGAACACCTGCCCAGAGCACAGCTGTCTTCCAGGTGCACACCCACATGTCCAAAGGTCAACTATTTCCCTCTCCTGGCATGGCCTCTGTGACATCCACTAGTTCTGAGGGCTCTGACATCCACTAGTTTAGTGCAGCAGCCAGACCCGTGACTCAGCCTCAACCCCTTCCTGTCCCTTCCAACATGTTTCACTACTTGCCATGCCATGCCTGCATGAGACTATGACCTCCTAGAGGACCCTTAGATGCCCCTCTCACCCTTTCCCTACTGCTCGATGCACACCACTCAGTAGCCAGGCTGAACTTTCACACCAGGCATCCTCAGAGCCTGCAGCCCCTGCTTCTACTCTCAGGAGCCCCCCCACCCCCCAATGATGGTGGCCACCCATCCCTCCTAATCCCAATGACTGCCTCTCTCAGCACCCTCTGCACAGCCCTCGCCTTCCTTTCCTGGGCATGCATTCCCCAAATTCAGTGTTCTTGTGGGCAGCACTGGAGGGTCAGCCTCCCCTTCCAACATCCTTGGCCACCCTTTGACCACAGGCAGAGCTTTCTGTCTTCTCACCTGTGCCCTGCCATGCCAGTGCTGCTGTGTGTGGGATGGGAGACTCACCTCCTCTCCATCCTGGGCAGGTGCCGGGCCCAACTCTCTCCTGGATCTTCAGTACTAGAAGCAGCAGGCTGTTGGAATATTCTGGTTGATGCCAGGCATGGTAGCTAGAGCCTATAATCCCAGCTACTTGGGAGGCTGAGGCAGGAAGATCTCTGGAGCCCAGGAGTTAGAGGATGCAGTAAGCGTTGATGACACCACTGCATTCCAGCCTGGACGAGTAAAGTGAAACTCTGTGCACCTGTAGTCCCAGCTACTCAGGAGGCTTAGGCAGGAGAATCCCTTGAACCCAGGAGGCGGAGGTTGCAGTGAACCGAAATCGTGCCACTGCACTCCAGCCTGGGTGACACAGTGAGACTCTGTCTCAAAAAACTAATAAATAAGAACGAAAATAAAAGATATTTTGGTTGAACAAATGAGAAAGAAACTTGTCTCAAGAGATGGACATGGGCACGAGGCTTCCCGGTCTCAAAAATGGCCAGAACCCTGCCAGCCTCCCATCTCTGCTTCAATCTGCCTTATGGGGGGACAGGGTTAATGACTGGACGGGGCCAACATCCCTTCCCTCATAAACCAGGCTGCCAGCTTCCGGCCTTTCTGGTCGATGCGAGCCCAACCAGGCCAACCTTAAGATTTGCCTCCTAGGGAGAAAACGTGTTCTTCTTGGTGACCAACTTCCTTGTGACGCCAGCCCAAGTTCAGGGAAGATGCCCAGAGGTGAGTTTGTCCAGGATCCTCCCAGCAGACCCCTCATTCCTCCACCAGCCCCAGGTGGCCACCCGTGTTTCCCTTTCCCCTTCCCAGGTGGCTGAAGGCTCAGCATGTGCTTAGAGTCCCCCAGGCACTGGGCTACATCTTTGTGTGAATCATTTCGTTCAGTCTTCACATATCCCCACAGGAATTCCTGGGATCCCCATTTCAGAGGCAAAGACTGAGGCTCAGTGAGGTTGAATCACTTTCTTAAGGCCTCCCAGCCTGTGGGTGACAGAAACCCGAGCTCTGGGCAGCAGCAGTTTCCATGAGGTGCCCAGGCCCTCCCATCCTGGTCCTGCCTCTGGGTACTCTCCAGGTTGTTAGTGTGACACCCAGAGCTGGGCACATGCTCAGGGAGGCTCCAATAGCAAGAGCCAAGCAGTGGCATGATCATGGCTCTCTGCAGCCTCAAACTCCCAAGTGATCTTCCTACCTCATCCTCCAGAATAGCTGGGGCAACAAGCACAGGCCACCACACCCAGATAATTGTATTATTCTATGTAGTGATGGGGTCTCACTGTGTTGCCCAGGCTGCTTCCAAACTCCTGGACTCAATCAATCCTCCTCCCTCAGCCTCCCAAAGTGCTGGGATTACAGGTATGAGCCACCAAGGCCAGCCCAGGACACGTTTCTTGAGAGACACAGATATCTTTTGGTCCCGTGTAGTAAGAAACCAAAGTTGAATAAGCTTATACTTAAGTTCAGCAATCAATGTTTCTGTATTATATCTTATTTGGAAGTGATCTAGATATTCAACAAATAACCATCTTTTAATTTAACTTAGTTTGACTTTAAGGTTTTAGATTACCGAAAAGATTTTGGATTTGTGTGTGTGTGTGTGTGTGTGCGCTTTTGTCACCCAGGCTGGAGTGCAGTGGTGCAATCTCGGTTCACTGCAACCTCTGCCTCTTGGGTTCGAGCGATTCTCCTACCTCAGCCTCCTCAGTAACTGGGATTACAGGTGCCTGCCATCATGCCTGGCTAATTTTTGTATTTTTAGTAGAGTCGAGGTTTCGCCATGTTGGCCAGGTTGTTCTCAAACTCCTGACCTCAGGTGATCCATCCTCCTTGGCCTTCCAAAGTGTTGGGATTACAGGTGTGAGCCACCTTGCCCGGCCAGAAATTATCATCATTATTATTGTCATTATTATTGAGACACGGTCTCAATAATAGTGGGAGTTGGCTGGAGTGCAATAGCACAATCATGGCTCACTGCAGCCTTGAACTCCTGGAAATTATTTTTAAGTAGACATATTTTATAAAATGTAATCATTATTTAAATAGTATGTCTAGCAATAAGTCAGTCAAAAATAAAAATTAAAACAATAAAAAATTATTTATAGCTGGGCACAGTGGCTCCCACCTGTAATC